GTGCAGGGGGACCAGCTAGCTGGGGGGAGGGGGAGGGAGCGGGGGGGAGAGAGAGAAGGGGGGCGGCCAGGGCTACAGCGGGGCGCTGCCACGGGGCCCCTCCGTGCCGCCTGCCGTGAGGGCTCCTCTCTGGTCGGCGGGGAGGGAAGGATGCGGGCTGCCCTGCCGGGCTTGCTGCAGGGCGCTCTCGTCCTCTGCGGCGCCGCCCCCTATAGGGCGGCTGGAGCAGAACAACAACAACAAAAAAAGCGTCTGTGCCGCCCTAGGACGAGGCGGAATGCCGCCTCGTTCAATCTGCCGCCCCAAGCACCAGCTTGCTCGGCTGGTGCCTGGAGCCGGCCCTGACTAAATCCCACCCCCAGCTTTCCCCCGCTCCTTTTCCCCCGTATAACTGGAAAGATGTTAACGGCCACGTCATCTTGAAATCTGTTAGCCACTTACGCTAAACAAATCTGTTCCACCTTCTATTTAGTTGTGACACTCGGAGTACATTTCCCAGACCTCAAGAAGAGTTCTGAAAAAGCTTGAAAGCTTGTCCCTCTCAACAGCAGAAATTGGTCCAATAAAAGATATTACCTCACCCACATTTTCTCTCTAGAATGGTGTAGGTTTACTTGGTCCTGCCTCAGTGCAGGGGGCTGGACTTGATGACCTCTCGAGGTCCCTTCCAGCCTGACATTACTATGATTCTAGTATAGTGTGCAGCTCTGTTTATGCCAAACAGAATTTGTTAAAGTCATCTATATGAAAAAGTACATGGTAAACTGCACTTCTGCCACAGCTGGAACATAACAGATTAATTTACAAGCCCAACAAAAAATGTGTTTGGTTTGAGATCTGCGGTGCTTGTTTTGAAACAGTATGGAATGAATTTTGATGCACGTGAAACAGAGCAGTAAGTGGAGCCAGACAGAGGGCAGGTTGGCCTGCTTTCAAATGCCCAACATATCTGTGCCATGCTACCTCAAGCTTGACCTACCACATCCCTGCTATTCCCTTTCTGGGCCTTTCTTGAACAGAGAATAACAGCCATGTCAAATCATACAACAGCTCTACAATGGGAGCAGCTTTCCACTAATAAGCAGGAAAAGGCTGCCAAAGTTAACTTGATGTGTAACATAAGCAGGATTTGACTCCAGAAGTCAAACGTTACTGCATGAGTTGTCAGCTCTAATTTTACAGAGAGCGGAGGGCAACCATTTTCAGGTCAGCCTCTGAGGAAAAAGGGAAATTATCCTCAGATAATAATTATGAGATGTCAGAATCACAGTGGTATTATCTATGAAACCAAAAGGCCTAGGTCCAGGGAAGGGAATAAGGAAATGGAAATTCTAAAGAAAGGGCACACAAAATGTTGTGGTTAGTGAATCAGAGTCATCTACTGCTGTGCAGGGAAAATCTCTTTGTGGATTTCCTCTGAGTGTTCCCCAGCCCAGTGAGCCATGGTTCCATCACCAGAGACCAGCGGATGCTGGGGGATGCAGAAGAGACAAGGATCATCTGCACAGAGGCCCACTACTTACTCTGGGATTCTGGGCTCCCTGACAATGGAGCTCCAATGCAGCTGTGTTATCAGGACTTCCCCGGGCCCATTAATACTTCTCCAGTCATGAGGGAGAGGGAAATGATTACACAGCTCTAGTTGTCATCTACCACCTCACACTGGAACCCATATGGGGTATCATCAAACAAATACAACCTATATTTGATGGGGACCACATCCTGAAAGAAATCTGTCATTCTGGGTAGTGGCCTTCACTTGCGCAGAGTCTCAAGTATTTTTGAAGAGAGAGCTAGATATTATATTGAAATAGGCATTCTTTAGGGGTACAGTCTCAAACCAATCTTGTGAACGCAGAGAAAGAATTATACTGTAGAGGCTACCGTCATCACCACACAGAAACGGAACTTTTTGATGTACGTGTTCCATTTTCATAGCTCTCATGTATTCGGGAATGAGGAAATAATACTACAACCCTGCTCCCAATTACAGCTGAAGTAACTCTTCTGTTCCCGTTTGGGGAAGGGCACTGACTTCAGTCTTTGTATTTTCTTGTAAGAGGGATCCCAGAAAGGGATGTGGAATTGGGGTGGGGAGATGACATGAAGTAAATTCTCTGAAAAGTGAATGGATGGAGTGAACTTCTGGAGTGGAACTGGCTGGAGTGAACTCCTCTCCATTTGTCTAAGGAAACTGATCACCAAAAGGTAGAGACGTAGGAAAACGATTTGCTGCCCGTATTTTGAGTCGGGGATTTTCAGTGTGGTATTAAACTTGCTGCTATGAAGAAGAAAAGCAGCTTGAACCTGCAGGTGCTGACAAACGCTGTCTTTCCACCTGGGTCACTTCAAAATACTTAAATACTAACACTATTTTCCTACACAAGCAATTGCTGTAGTAGTCACAGGGGTTTTATGTGATTCCAAATGGTTCATGATTGGGAAGCTGCAAGGGCAGGTGGCTGAAACCACACTCTCTCTGTTGAGGTATGATCTGCCCTATGCAAACCTTTGGGAGAACCCCTGAGAGAAGGCATGTTCCTGAGACAGCCAAATGAAATAGTATTGGGACTGTGGATAGGTAGATGGGAGAGGAGATTGGTAAACAGAATAAAGGATTTGTGAGGAAGCTTGTTGATTGGGTCAAATGAAGCTGCTGTAACTGGTGATTCAAGACCAAAGTGCCTCGGCCTGTACTTGTGGTATGATTCTCCTTCTTTCTCTGGCCAAAGCTATGATTCTCCTTCTTTCTCTGGCCAAAGCATTTAGGTCTGAATTGCCAATTACAGCAGCTTTATTTAACCTAATCAACAAGTTTCCTTTAACTAATGGGTAAAAAATTAATATTCCAGATGCCGATTAGGGCTCTTGATCTGTTTACAGCAGATTCGTTTCCTCTTTGATTTCCCAAGTCAGAAAGTTACTGGAGAACACTTCTGGGTGCTATGGCTCATGCAAGAAGCTCTTTTTAATTGCCTAATTGTGTCTTCTTGTTACATTCTCTATCTTTTTAGGAGACATAATGCCTTTGATCCACATATACAACTGCTATTTAAAGTCTATGTTCCTCTGCATTGATTTCCAGATGGAATCATTTGCCACTAATTTTGATCTGTGTGCTCCTCTAATCTGTTTGTTAGAGAACAATGTTATTTGTTCTTAAACTCAGGGGTGCTGGAACAATTTTTACAGCAGGGGTGCTGAGAGCCATTGAACCAAACTGCAAACCCTGTATATAATGGAAACCATTTCAAGCCAGCTCCTATGCTTAAACATGGTATATAATAATACAATACAATAGTTGGAAAGAAAAACAGTGCCATGGATAAAAGGAATAGTGATCTATCTGATCAGCCATTGAATTTCTCTGAAACAAAACCTTTTCAAATGAGAGTGTGACTGTCTTTTTCTGAACGATACAGTGCATTTCAGGAGAAAACCCAGGTACCAAGTTCAGCTGGAGCTATTACGAACAATGCAGTCCACACGCACCTTGTCTTCATACATCCTTTTAGCTTCCCGTAATTCAGAACGCAGCTGAGAAACAGTGGATTCCAGTTGGCTGACCTGACGCATGTACATTGAATTCTGGTTTCGTGTTTGTTCTCTAAGAAAAATTTTGAAAGAAAGGGAAAAAAAATTGTGAGTGCTGCCAAAGCATGATACATACACAGCTATGCTAAGGATGTGATCCCTAGACTTCACTGTATTAAGTGTAGTTGCAGTCTGAAATGTGAAAATATAAAAATGGCACCTTCTTACTTAACAGATCTGCTCCCTCTGTATTCAGTCATATTTGGTTAATTTAATGACAAAAATAAGGTGTTACTGCTTTTATTTCTGTTTACAATTCTGGGTCATGTATCATCAACACACATGTTAACTAAGTTTTAACTGGAGAGCTAGAGTCTGTCTTTAGTTGCACCAGAGGACTGCACAAGTGGAACTCTGGGCAGAATTCAGCTCACAGAATCTTTATCACGGGTGATTATGTGCAAGTCACACATGGCCCAATTTGACTTCCAAACCCCAGCTTGAGTTTGCAGGGTTGGCAGATAGAAAACTCATCTTTTAATGCGTAAACTGAGCACATCTGACCTACAAGTCATCAAGAGACCATCAACAGAGAACCACCATGCCATTTTCTAGTCACTCAATTATTAGCAATGCCAACACTGGCCATATATGTGGCTTTTCCAAAGGATCGTCTATAAGATTCATCATTATTTATTTCTGCCAGTAAACATCACAAGAATTCATCCATTTTTGTTTATGATACAGTTGACAAGAAATATATTGTCAGGAATTAATTTTGGACCAGAATCTTACCAACTCTTATGGAGATATACCTATCTCATAGAGCTGGAAGGTCATCAAGTCCAGCCCCCTGCCTTCACTAGCAGGACCAAGTACTTAGTTTTGCCCCAGATCCCTAAGTGGCCCCCTCAAAGTTTGAACTCACAACCCTGGGTTTAGCAGGCCAATGCTCAAACCACTGAGCTATCCCTCCCCCTTGATGGTTAAGGACTCCAGTCATTTCTGCACAGCCCTACTTCTGCTTAATTTATATAAAGCTGGTGCAGAATGCTCCCCGCAGCAATCTTTTCCTGCTCTGTGGGTGGGTATAGAGAGGGAGCAGGGCCGTGGTCCCACATTTTCCTAGTTCTGCTTCCCAAAGAGGGGAGGAAGAGAAGCAGTCCCTGTGATAGAGATTGCAGGGAATGCTATTGCGAGCATTCCCCATGCAGATGTGCAAGTGGGGAAGGTTCTTGTTCACTCCTTCACTTCACTACTGTGCAGTGTTGCAGGAGTTGCTCATAACTCAGGACTCACAGATTTGCTCAACGTCACAAAAAGAAATTTACGTCAGTCAGGAAAATAGCCCAGGACTGATTCTCCTCTCCCCTGAACCAGAGTAACTCCAATGACTCATTTGACTTACCTTGCTTCTGACTGAGAGTCAGTTCCCATGTCTCCTGATTCTCAGAGCTTTGCCTTAAGCACAAGACTATGTTCCCCTCTATTTTGTACCCTTTCTAGATTTCGCCTCCCATGATTTCTGCAGTGGTTGATTAACTCTGAAGCAAAGTTACTAAGAAATCTTATCATGCCAGCAGAGAGTGTATGCTAGCAGAGGGAGACCTCTCTAGAATCAAGGTTATTGTAATGTGTTCTACAGTACAACTGAGAAACATACTGAATGATCTCCATCTGGCTTTGAATACTGTTTGCATGGCTGCGTGCGCTGTTGGTTTTATCAGTCAGTGCTGCCACCTCCTGTTCATGTTCATTTATTAGTTGCTCAATCCTATTTAAAAAAAAAAAATACTGGTTACAATTGTAGACAAGGTATTTCCCACTGCATAAACTGTACGGAAAAGAATATTTCCCCAGTAGTCACAAGATTTAAAGATTTGGGGGATTTGTCATGAATGTAATCAATTGTATAAAATTAATTCACAGTTTATTCTGATGACATAACTAGATAATTCAATTAGAAAGTTGGAGAAGTTGCAATTTATTGAACCAAGGAAGGCCAAAGTTTTGAACAAAAAAACCAAAAACAAGAAAGAGATGAGGGGAAAAACCAGGAAAATGAAAGATGACAATTAAAAGTCATGTCATCCACACATTGTTATTTACATTAAAGCACTACCGTGTACTAGACAAGGTGTACTACAATCTGCACTAGCTACATAAAGAGCAAGCTCAGTTGCTTATTTTAATCAGAGAGAGGGGCAGAGCCTTGATTTGAAAAAAGCAAAAAGCACTGTAAGGATTTTTTGCAGTGTTACTTAAAATACCTCTGGTCATTTCTATTTTCCATCGTACTTTAGAAAGTTATTGATTTTATCCTAACCAGCGTTAACAATAGTGCTGCTCTCCACACAAGAATGATTTAAACGGTTTTAGTTCTAGTCACTAACAAACATGCCTATATTAGGAAAATATTAACATGACACGGTAAAGAACACAAAAGTCAGAAAATCCTCCTACTACAACCCAATGGAAATGGTTTTGCTCAGACACTTCCAAAATATTGACCTTTCAGCAGAGATCATGTCTAGAAATTCTTAAATGTGTCAGGAAGTTCTGAGTATTTAAAAACACAAAACTAGAATAGAAACAGATAAACCCTCAATAATAGTGACTGCTATTGCACCTTTCACTTATTACAGTATCAGCATCTGGTACAAAAAATAATTCAGCCTGGAAAAGTGAGGAAGTGTTGGTGCCTGAACTATACTAGTGATTAAATAGGGAAAAGGTACCTATCTTGATGTTGTTGAAGCAGAAGTTCTGTTTTGGCCTGTGATTCTTTTTTCAGTGATTCAAGTTGTTCCTCCAACTGTTGTAAGTAAATTACAGTGTTGTTTATTGTGAGTAATCACTCTTACCCACTAGTAAATGAAAACACAGCTGTAAAATTTTGGCTTTCAAGCATGTTCAGAAGATAACCAAAAGAGACTCAGCTCAGAAGCCAGGGTACGGCTGAAATCACAAGCCCTTGCTTCTTTATAGGAAGGCGAATTGATATATTGAGCTAAAATAGCTTCCCCAGGGCTCCCAAGAGTGGGGATTGGACAGGGCCAGAGGATCCACCACTACCTGGATTCTCTGGAGCTCTCTTGTGCAGGAGGTGGGAGTGGTATGCACGGGGATCATGCAGCACCCCGAAGCAGTCTTTGTGAATTGGCTCCACAGCTGCTCTGAGGCAGGGGAAGGATTCAGCTACTTGAGTCAGGCGCTGCTTTGTGGATTTGGCTCTCAGAGTGTTTTTACATAACAAATAGTCATCTGGAAGCTTACACCACTAACTGGCAGGAAAAGTAGTGTTCTCCCCACTCACCGGGAAAATCCTCCCTTTGAGATACGACACCTCTGAGTCTAAATCTCGCAGGACTTTACTAAAAGCTGTGCCCAGGTTGCGGATATGGAGACCGCTGATGTTCTCGTGCTCATACACCCTCTTGCCTGTGCTGTCTTCATAGTCCACTAGGACGCCCCGCAGTTCGTGGAGCACTTCCTCATGGCCATGTACCATCTTTTTCAGATGCTCAGTTTGGCTGTTGGCCTCCCTCAGCATCTCCTCCTGAAGGTGGTTGGCTGTTTCCAGTTCATGAACTGTAGCCTGTAGCTGTATTTTGATGTCCTCCTGGCTCTGGGATTCTCTTCGTCTATATTTCAGAAAGGAAGACATCCAAGAAATATTGAAAGTGATAATGGTGTACAATGTTTGTTTTTATCCTGTCTGATATGGGGGGAGGGAGGTTTATAATCACTATTTCTGCAAATTATGGAATCTGGTATGTTTTCTGAAACTACGGGCCAGACTTTGCACTCTGCCATGACTACTGCTGCCCAAGGCTCCTTCCAGGAGAACCCTCCTTGCACTTGGGGACCAGTTCAATCACCTGCTGCAGTCCTTCTCTTCCTCCCAAGCCCACATGGGAGCTGTGTATCATTTACCAGATACACTACAATGGGCTAGTCTCTGATGTAAGCATGCACACCTGATATCCACGAGAGCATCTCTCTCCATTTGCACCTCCTGAAATTTGGTCTGCAAATCAACGATTGTCTGTCTTAAATTGAACTTCTGTTGTTCGTGCAGTTCAGTGTTCTGGACAAACAAAACAAGCAAATGATTGGATATTTGACCAAAAATAAATGTAGCTAAGGGTAATATGATAATTTATAATAAGATACATTGTGTTAGTGTGTTGCTCTATGCTGTGGTGCAGATATACTGGGGGCATTACTGGAGGGGGCATAGCAAGAGTGCTGCTGTTCTGAGGCACCCTGAGAGCTATGGCAGCTGAGAACAGGTAAGAGGCTGCTCTAAATGTGCTGGTGACCAAACTCTCCCCTGGCCAGTCCAGGAATCCAGTATGTAACAAAGCCATGGCAGCCACCCCAATGAATCTGGCCCAAAGTCTTCAACTCACATCATTTAGCCTCTTCTGCAGATCTCTGACTTGCTGTGAGTACCCTTCCAAGATGCTCTCAATGTGCTCTTTTCCAGGATAACTAGTGCTTCTCTTCTGGGTATCAATGTCCACTTCATATTTAGAATACAAGACAGTTTTGGGTGGACTACTGCCAGCACTAGCAGAGGTAGAGGTTTCCATCACTGTGCTGCGAATGGAAGATGCTAATACATTCTGATTGCTGAAAAGTGGGCTAGCAGCACCTGAAATTAGAGAATATTATATATTGAAAATGGAATCCTTATATGAAAATAAAATAATTCTTTACACCTGTGAAAAGCAAGAGCCAAATGAGTGTTCTGCCCATTCTCTTCAAGTCAGTGGAGAATCAAGCCCATATACTTTAGAAGTCAGCTTTTTCTAAGGATTGTATAGGCCCCATCCATTCTTGCAATGCAGCTTGTCATGGACACCAGTGCAAACTGAGTGCAGAGTGGGTGTGAGACACTGCAAGATCAGATTGGTAACATTTTAAACCCACTACACTCTCACTTTGCACTGCTGAAAATGCTGCCACAATGTGCAGGGCAATGGTAAGTCAGGCCCTTTGGCCTCAGTCCTTAGACTACAGGATGATCACCCCCAGGTAGGGGGATCCACTGATGGTGTACAGCTCAGGGTAGCTCCTATGCCACCCACCCTTAGACCTGGTGAAAGTGGCATGGCCAGGGCATCCTTGCACCCCAGTGATCCCTGGCTGGCTTAACTGCACGTTGGGACCACTGGCAATCTGGGAGCCGCCCTGATTTACATTGTGGGGATCCAGTATATAGCAATCGAGGGACCAGGAGAGTGCAAAAGCAGATTAAAGCCACCTTTGCACACATGTCCAACCCCCATCCACTATCATAACACATCTGCACCACTTTGTTAATTCACTAAAACCAGATTAGGAAAGGAATAGATAATAAAAGAGAAAATATCATAATGCCACTATATAAATCCCTGGTATGCCCACATTTTAAATATCACATAAGGTTCTGGTCACCCCATCTCCAAAAAGATATATTAGAATTGGAAAAAGTACAGAGAAGGGCAACAAAAATTATTAGTGGTATGGAACAGCTTCCATATGAGGAGAGAGGAAAAAGACTGGGACTGTTCACTTAGAAAAGAGACAACTAAGGGGGGGATAGGACAGAGGTCTATAAAAATCATGAATGGTGTGGAGAAAGTGAATAAGGAAGTGTTATTTATCCCTTCGTATAACACAAGAACCAGAGGTCACCCAATGAAATTAATAGGCAGTAGGCTTAAAACAAATATAAGGAAGTACTTCTTCTTCATATAATGCACAGTCAACCTATAGAACTCATTGCCAAGGGATGTTGTGAAGACCAAAACTATAACTGGGTTCAAAAAAGAATTAGATAAGTTCACAGAGGATAGGTCCACCAATGGCTATTAGCCAAGATGGGCAGGAATGTAACCCTATTCTCTGGATGTCCATAAACTGCTGACTGCCAGAAGCTACAACTGGATGACAGAGGATGGACCAATCGATAATTGTCCTGTTCTGTTCTTTCCCTCTTAAACATCTGGCACTGGTCACTGTTGGAAGACAGGATACTGGGCTAAATGGACCATTGGTCTGACCCAATATGGCCATTCTTATGTAGATATTTTTGTACATTGTTCAGAATTCAAGACACCAGTTTTAAAACAGCAGTTTTGAAATACCAGTTTTGCTAAAAGATGCTTCAACCGTAAGTGTAAAATTTCAACCCTTATACACCCTTTTTAACAATAACTCGAGTGGGACAGTTTGCACAACGGAGATAGCCTGATGTTAAATGAATTTTCAATATTGTTAAACTGTATTTAGTACTTACGCCCACTGGGAATGTTGCCACTTGATAAAGTCTCTTCATGACTCAGAGAATGTGTGATTGATTCCATTGTAAATTTGGTTGCTTCTTCTTGGAGTTTCAGAGTCTCTTTTGTTTGTCTTTCCAGTGCTTCCCTGCAAAATTATATGTGTGAGTATTTGTTGCGAGTACAATGTATGAATAGAGGAAGGTATCCAACTTAATTGTGTCACCACAAATAGTATCTGAAATGAATAACTAAAAATAATGTCATTTTATAGGCTCCATTTAGTGACATTATACACACCCAGGGTCTGCGTTCACATTTAGCAAGAAAGTGCCAGATCGTTAACTCTTATAAATTTGTATAGCTCCACTGAAATCAATTGAACTCTGCTGATATACACCAGCCAAGATTTGTCTGAAGGGGCTGAACACAAAATACAACAAAACAAAACACTCCATCAAACAAATAAAAACAACCTGTTTGGATCATATCAAAACAAGATTCCTCCCCCCCACACACACTTACTTTTTCTCCTGATTGGCTGGCGAAATACCATCTACTGACACAGAACCACAGACATTCTGCTTTACCGTGTAAAGTTTGCATGGCTAATTGATTGACAAAAGCATTAACAACTCAATCAATCAAATGGTTAAGGAGAAATTTCATACTGAATTCTGACAAGTGCTATGGGACTGTATTTTTCAGATGTTACGTGGAGACACTTGAGGGTTGTAAAGAGAAGAAACCCTCTACAATAACAGAAAACATTTGTAAATTAAACACACTGATCTCCAGCATAGAAACAAGGACTCTCCTGGCTCACAGCATGACATCGCCCATAGAATGCAGAGTTTCAAAATCTTATTCGTTTGAAGTCACTTAGGCAGCACAACATTTCTTAAAAACATGTATCTAGCCTTTTGAAGACGGAAGGATGAGGAAGTTAAGGAGAAAATGGGAAGGGCACAGGAAGGGAGATATTTCTAAATGTGGATCTATATCCTATTTTTGAAGTCTAGACAGCTCATGAAAATGGACAAAACGCTAGATTTTTAAGAGATGTTAAAGACATCAGGAGGGAAAACCTGCAATCAAGCTTACCTTCTCATGGGTGCAAATGCAGTTAAGTGTGCTGGGTGTGACCGAAGCCCCATGCAGTAATGGCCAGATTGTTACTGGCACAGTGGGTGTGCAGGGGATGGAAGTAAGGAGCCCCCCTCCTGTCAGTTTCAAACAAGGTTCTGTCTCAGTCAAGTCTCTGAGCTCAAGAGACCCTACGGACTACTCCCTCCATGAGGCCTCAAGGGCACATGTTGCCTCAGTGGGAGAGGTTGGGTTAAGAAGGAGGCAAGCGTGTGCACTCTGCATTGCCCCCACTCTGGATGGGTGCTGCACAGGAAGTTTATAACTTGATCTGAGTTTATTGAATCTCTATTGTAATTAGAGGGTGCTTCATTCACCATCCGGATATTACTACACAACACCTCAGCTTCACCTCACACCTCAATAGTCTGATATATGAAGTGCTCGGATGGAGCCCTCCTACTGAAATAAAACAAAAACCAAGTTTTCAGAGGAGTTTATAAACTCGGGGTCAGATTCACTGATACACTCCATGTGCTTTGCATCACCAAATGGGTGCAAAGCAGCCAGAACCTACTAGTAAATCCAGCCCGAAGAGAGTTAAAACTGCCCCATGAATCTCAGTTGTTAATGCGGAAGCCCAATGACGATACTTTTCAGGCAAGATTTTCAATTATTTGATGCGTGTCTGTGTGCCTAAAATATGCATCTAATTGGCATAATTGTGTGTGTAAATTTGTTAACTGCAAACACCTCAGGGCAAATAAACAAAAGGCGGAAAGATTCCTAAAAGGGCCTCGCAGCATTTTTACCCCATGGAGTGATGCGGAATGTAACAGTATGAAAATGTAAGTAAAAGAGAATCAGGCCATAAAAGTTTAATTATTACCTCAGGGACATATTCTACCCTTCATCTTTGTGCAAAAGTCCCATTGTCATCAGTAAGAATGCCACTGTGGATTGAGGAACTACCTGGCCCTAACTATTACCCTGGCATCAACAATGCAATTCATCCCTTTCCACAGAATGTCTTTGACATTGGTGCACTTTGTAACACATTTCTTCCTTATCTCTGTTGTCACATTATTGTTAAGAAGACTATCTTTTACTATTCTAGTCATGTCAAAGTTCAATAATCAAGGTGTACACTATAAGGGTAAGCAGCAGAGTATTTTAAAAATAACTTCACTAATAAACAAACAAAAAAGACACACACTACCTTAATTCCTGGATATTCTTGCTCATTGTAACAGTGTCTGCAAAGAATAATAGCAATCTTTATTTTTTTTCACATTTCAAAAATCACCTTTCTCTCTTAAATGAATTTTGAAGTAATGCAATGTAATATTGTAGAAATAAGTTCACAAATGTTAAACAATTAGTTGTTTATATTTGCTTTGGAAAATTTTTCTGTTTCCTGAGTAATATTGTGAGGTGGACTTTGTCGCATAAACACAACTATATGTTTTATAACAGGGGCCAGCTGTGATAGGGTGACTGGCCCCTTTAAGAGGTAATTGGTTCTGCCCCACTTGTGGCTCATTAAACCCTCCTCCCCATGTTGGGGAAATGAGTGTAACACCCCATGAGAGTAGTTCATGTGGTTAAAATCAGTCCAGGCCTGGTGTTAAAAGTGAAGCCTCCAGAGAGCAAAGAAAAAGAGAGCAAGTAGGCAGCTTGTAAAAGGCCTGCTGGATTAGGGAGATTTGGTCCTAGAGAAACCACCTGGGGAGTATTGCTGCCTGCTGAGCTCTCCCAACCCAGGGAGAAATGCAATAAGGTAAAATTAAACAAATTAATTAACAATTTAAAATAACAAACTCAGCCCAACAAGCAGGACTGTGGGTCTCTAGTGCTAAGGAGTGAGAAGCCTGATAGGAAATCCTCCCAGTCCCCTGAATTTAGAGAAGCTCTTCTGTGGGGAAGCTGATTAAACTCAATACATTATTTTCCCAGGAGAAGATGAATATTATTTAAAAGCTCTGGATGGAAGTCATTTACCTGAATCCCTAAGGAGCTGAAGGCAGGGTGTCTCAGAACTACACTGTGCCACTAGCAGCCATGATCTGGAATGGCATCCTCTTATATGGCCCTGGCATCTCCTATGAAATACCTCTTCCAGTCAAAAAAAGAGGTATGCAAAATTTACCATTCTCACAACTGATTTCAGGCATCAAACTTTATGCTCCAAATTAACCTTAAAGGCTAGAATTTCAACTCTCTGCCTAGACTGCAGCTTCAAAACTGGTAACAGATTTTGAGCACACAAAAGTCCTGTGGCCATTTGCACATACAAACTATATGCACAGAGAGGCACTAGGCACACATTGACCTATTTTGTGCCTCAAGTGCCTACTGGATGGCTCAAATTGAGGGGTTTATGCACAGATTCTTTTGGCATAAATTAGACAGACAGTTTTGAAAACTTGTCCCTAATAAATCTGAGCTTTATTCAGCTTTGCAAAATTCTTCTCATCCACTCACCTGTGGCAAGTAATTCTTTTTGAGAGGTGCGTAAAGTGTTTTCACTATGGAGGGCAAGTAGTTTTTGTATCTGCTCTGGTAAATTTTCAAGACAGTTTTGCAAGGCTGGATTAATTTCAGAAAGACAGAGGTCCAGATCAGCTCTTGCATAATCCACCTGCAGCAGAGCTGCATTTAGATCAGAGTTTGTTCCAAGGAATATAAGAGAATGAAGAATTTGTAATTATATAATCCTTTCAGCCAAATTATCCAAGTGCTTTCCTATACAAGTGGGTAAGTATTATTGTCCCAATTTCACTGATACAGAAAACTTAAATTACTTGCCCAAGGTGCAATAGAAGAGTCAGAAATAGAATCAAGGAGTCCTGGCTCCCAGACCCCACACTAACCACTACAGAAGGCTGACACTTTCAAAATTATGATGTGTTGCAGTAGTAGTGCCTAGTCATAGACCTGGCCCACTGTGCTAGGTGCTGTACAAGAGGGCCAAAAAGTTTTCAGCCTTGGGGTCCTCAATACAAAATTACATGTCACCTGATTTTTAGAGGTGATGAGCACTTGCAGCTCCCTTTGAGTTTTCTTCCCTGCAAACTGGGCAGAAGGAGTCCACAGTGCTGACTTGCAACTTCACCCCTTAGTTGCTGAACTTGCAGGAGTGAATAGCTCCTCCTTTGGGTTTTTCAAATATGGGAGTGCAGAGCCAGGCATGTGCTCCCAGAAGGCACATTGGTGCAGAAGACTGCCCATCTACAGGAAGTTGAACTTCTGGGGTAAGTTTATTGTCCAGTGAGATTAAGATTCTGGCAGCTGGAGCCTGCTGGCTCTTCGTGAAGTAAAAAGGATTCTAGACCTGCTTACACTAGGCCCTCAAAAAGCCTGAGTTCAGGCTTCTATAAAATGAGCGTACACTGATTTGCATACATGGACGTGGTCATAGCCTGTTGGAAAATAAAGTGTCTCTTAATTTTCACCTTAGCAGGAGCTCATTTTTTTCCCCTTGAGGCAACTTTAGAGGCAGCCCCTCTCTTTCCCTGGGGAGCTGAGTCTCCTTTTATGTTCCCTGTCTCTCTGTGTGTCTCTCCACATTGTCCCTCCCGTTAGGTCTCTGGGCCCAATTCACCACTCTTGTTACTTCAGTTATATGCCACTGTACCACCACTGATTTCAGTGGTGTTACTCAGGCGCCACAGTGGCTCAGTGTTAATCAGGCTGTTGGGTCCCCTTCAAGCAGAGTTGCCAAGTTTGGGACTGCTCCGCTGAATGTTGTTTCTCACAGGTGAGAGAAAGTCACAGATGCCTGCCTCCACCCTGGGGCCGTGGGCTGTCAGAGCAGCCATGGGCAGGAGGCAGGACCTATCCCTATGCTCTCTAGAAACAGAGCTGCGGGTGCTGGGCGGGTGGGTGCCAGGCTGGCTCAGTGCCTGGTGCTCGGCAGGGGGGCAGGTGGGTGCCTGGTGGAGACAGGAGCTGGGTGGATGTTGGGTGGGTGCCAGGCTGGCTCGATGCCTGGTGCTGGGTGGGTGCCTGGTGGGTGTGAGGCCTGGTGGGGGCAGGGGCTGGGTGTGTGTCGGGTGGGTGCCAGGCTGGCTTGGTGCCTGGCACTGGGCGGGGGGCCGGGTGGGTG